ATATATTATAATATAATATAATAATTATTATATTATTATTATTATTATTATTATTATAATTATTTTGAAAGAGAAACATACCTTGCTGCTTATCGTAATTCTCTTCAATAAAATGGACACGTGCCTTCCGCCATTTCTAAAATATCTTTCACCACTCCTTCCTTCCTTCCTTCCTTCTCTCCTTCTCACCCCCTGCAACAAAATTTCAATTGCATTGTTATCCGTTCTTATTTCGTCGCAGGTGAAAATGATGATAAAGAAAGAAAGAAAAAATAAAGAAAGAAAAAAAAACCGAATCAAAGAGCAAACGAATAAAATAAAATTATCTCGTAGTAAAAAATATAAAATTGACTTGAAAAATATTTCATCCACCTCGTATAAAAATTAAAATAATACGAACCGAAGCGGATGGCACATTTTTTTATGTTTTTCTTTTTTTTTTATATATATATAAAAAAGATAATATATATATATATATTTCTTTTTTATCTAATTAAAAACGATAAAAGGAAATCATTTATTTTCGAACGGAAGTCGAAACCTTTTAAATCCGGCGGGTTCAAACAATTCACCCATATTCATTTCCTCCCTTTTTTTTTTTTTATAGTTTATAGTTAAAGTATTTATAAAGGAAACAGCAGCTGGTTGCTGTGTTGGGATACTATAATAACAATATAAATTTCTTTCGATAATATTTTTGCATATTATATTACGTTTATATATATATATATATATATATATATATATATATTTCCTTAGTAGGCATACTAATGATTGAATATTAATAGTTTTTAAACCACCGACACGTGACTACGTTTTGCATCATATTATCATGACTTTATTACTTTACCTAACGACGCGTTAAATTATCCGTCTTATTTTTTCTTATTACACGCATATTTTTACAAAATTTCTTTTTTTCTTTTCATTTTCTTTTTCTTTTCCTTTTCTCGTATATTTCATTTCAACGATAATTAATTATTTGTCACAACGCGACAAAGACAACAAAGAAAAGTATGTCATATATTACCCCGGCGTTAATTACAACATACTTCTTTTATATTTAAATCTTTATTGTTTTTTCTTTTTTTTTTTTTTTTTTTTATATAAATCTTTGACACATCATATTTAATCAACGAAACATATAAAAACAAGACCATTAATTGAAATATCAATTATATTGTGAAAGTTATTTCAACAATTAATTTTCTTTTTAATTGTTCATCTTATATCGTATTTATCCATCCTATAATATAAACATTTGAATAAAAGATAAACAAAATTACAAAATACCTCACTCCCCCTTCCCCGCGTTCGTATTTCTATGAAATAAAATAATAAAAAAACCATAAGAAAAATCTTGCCTATCTCCTCCACCCTACCTTCCTTCCCCACCGGTGAACAACCCTTTTCCCATTTATTTATTTTATTTTGTTTTCTTCTTCTTCTTCTTCTTCTTATCCTTCTCGTGACACGGAATCTACCGGGTGATCGTATGCAAAATAGAAAGAGAAAGATAGATATATGCAGCAGCAACAGCAGCAAAAGGAGAAACCAACGGCAGCAACTAGCAGAGGCAAACTGAATTTGCATACAGTGGCCGTTCAAAGCTTCTCTTCTACATATTTATGGGGTACGACATCCTTCGATTGTTTTTACGCGTCCTCGTACCTACGCTCGTCTCGCCATGACTCGTCGTATTTCTTTTTATCGATGGCATTTCTCCTTTTCCCTCCCCCTCCCACCTTTCTTTTCTTTTCTGTTTTGTTTTTTTTTTAATTGTCAAATTTTTTTCTATTTCTACTTCGATTAATTATTATAATATAAGAAGACAAACGAATACTTTTCAAAAAACGCGTAGTATCATCATCTATCTTATTAAAAACTTACAAAAATATATTTGTACTCTCCTTATCTCTCTTTTTTAAGATTAATCAAATTTATTAAATGCGTCAGGGTTAATTTTATTCCACATTAAGCAGTGTAGAAATTAATTCGTTAATATTTCATTTTCATATTCATATTATTCAAAAGAATAATATTACACAGTGGTATTATAAAGATATAAATAATAAAAAAAATATCCTTAAAGACCAAACACACTTTCATTAACAACCCCTCCAGCTTTCCCCCACCCCCCTTCATCCTCACCACCCAAATAAACTAATCAATCGAAAGATTTTAATTTTAATTATACGAATTAATAACCATTTTGAAAATTAATAATCAACATTGTGTGTACAGATAAATTTCAATAAATCTAATATAACTTGTATGACAGAATAATCTTTTTGTTTCTATTTTTTTTTAAAAGAATCCTAAACGCGAAAGAGAAAATAAAAAAAAAAAAGAAATATCATTTAATCGACAAAACACAGATTGAAGAGATAAATAAAAGGTTTGTTAAAGAATATTTCTTGATAAATCTAATAATAAAACTCGACATTAGAAATAGACACTTGATTATCGTTTACTCGTACCACGGTGCATAGACCAGCAAACGTTATGCAACGATGCACCGTTCTCGGGCAACAATGCTTCCTAATGCATAAATCTCCAATGCACTATGCAAGTAAATATACACACATACACATGTATCACAATACAAAAGTATAGACGCTAGATATACATGGACATTTTCTACCTATATATACAGGGTGTCTCCTCACACTTTTATCTAGTTTCACGATTATCCTAGAAACTATTGTTAATAATAGCAATATAATTATTTCAAATACAATTTATATCATTTCAACGAAAAGCATATAATGTTTTTTTTTTTTTAAATTAATAAAATCATACAGAAAGTCAGTTTTTTTTTTTTTTAATAGAACCACACGTTTTTTATTATACCACGATCGATGTATTATAATTTGTTATTCTAAAATAATACATTTTAATACAATAAATATACAATTAATAATAAATTTGTATTCAAAAATAATGACATCAGTATAATCATTTTTTAAATTGGAATATATGGGATTATAATGTAATGGGGATCGATTTAAATGAAACACATTGTATATTTCGTTGTAACTATCTATCCTATCTATCTTTTCTAAGCTCAATTAACGCGCGAACGTTTTCCTTGCCAATTTTCTTTCTACCTCACCGACCTTTTACCTTAGCTTATTCTAGACAATTTCGACATTCTCTCTTTGCTTCTTATCTGTGAATGTTTCAATGGGTCTCTTTCTCTCTGTGTGTGTGTGTGGAGGAAGGGAGAGGGATATTTATGTTTATAGGTATGAACTTACGACAACTTTCTAAATTATCTGGTTCGGCCAATTTGCTTTGCAATTTCTCGAGACAATGCATTCCACAATCTCGTTTCTTCCTATTTGTTGATATTTAAATGTGAATTTTTGTTACACATTTGTAAATATCTAACATCTTCGTAAAACTTTCTTTCATTCTTAATATTCCTTTTTTTTTGTTTTTGTTTTTTCTTTTTTTTTTACAATATCGCGCAACTTACACAATTAGAAATTATACACGCTCATTGTACGCGTATTCTGTGCAATATTTTTTTCACATTAATATCGTGCAACGTTCACGCAATGACTTTGAATTACACACGGGAGGTGATCTATTATGCACACAGCCATCATTTTATTATATTTCGCATGTGTGTATGATAATTTTTATTTATTTATTTATTTATTCTCCCCCTCTCTCCCACCACCACCACCACCCCAATTAAGCCTCTACCAATGGTATGCAATTTTTTATTATGAGATTTTGTATAATATTTTGCGATATTATGATTACACATTAATTTGATTATTTTGTTTTGTCTTTTTTTTTTTCAATTAATTTCACGCGATGCAACACCCTGTGATGCAACTTTGAAATTAGAAACGTTTGTACTTTTTTTTCTTTCTCTTTTTTTTTATATGGGTTTGCAATGTCGCGGTTTTTGTGAAGTATCAGTAAATTATTTTATCTAATCTCTTGTAATATTATTTCTTTACACTATGGATGATTTTATTTATGGCAATTTGTAGATCGTGACGATTGTACGAGGACGGAGGACGATTAAATTAGCAATGCGAGTACGGTGATTTTACGCTCGAGTGACGCTAAGAGGAGAGTTAACTTAACGAGGGGGCAGGGGGGGCTGGTGCATAAAGCGATACGAGAAAATAAAAAGAAAAAGACAAAAAAAAAACATGATTAATTTTCTTTTTCTCTTTTTTTTTTTTAATTTTTTTTTTGCAAGAATAAGAAAAACTCGATCGACAACGTCACGTTCTTTCTTGGGGGAGGGGCGGGGAGGGGCCCCCTGACTCCTTTTTTCTTTTTCATTACTCTTGTCGCATACACACACACACACACACAAAAGAAGAATAAAAACAGAAGAAAAAGGATTGTCCTATAAAATTGAATTATGTGAGAAGGATAGGAAACGAATTAAAAAAAAGAAAAAAAAAAAAATCATGTACAAGTGCATATAAATGAAAATGATAGTAAAATGATGAGAAGGAGAAGAGGGGAGGGAAGAGGATAGAGAAAGATAGAAGAAATATAATAACGTAAATGACGTGGTGATAGATAGTAAAAAAAAAAAAAGATAACGAGAAGAGAGAAAAAAAAGGGAATACATTAAAAAAGCGAGTAGTAAATGAACGAGAAAAAGAGAGAGAGAGAGAGAGAATGAAGATGACCAGAAGAGATAGAGAGAAAGAGAGAAATCATGATAAGAATGTGAATAATAAGTGAAACGAAGAAAACAACTGGATAAATAATAGAAGTACAAAAATAAGAATGAACAAAATATTAGAATGAAGAGAAAAATAAGTAGAAGAAGAAGAAGAGGAAGAAGATAAAGAAAGATAAGAATGAAAATGATAGTAAAACGAATAGAACGAGAAGAGAGAGATAGATAGAAAGAGAAAGATAGAAAGAGAAAGATAGAAACCCGGAAGGTCTCATCTTCTTCTTCGAATTCAAAGGTCCACCACCACCAACTGGTCCCATCTCTCTCTCTTTCTCTTTCTCTCTTATTGCATAACGATATCATCCCGTTCGTAGCATCCGCATCCTAAGTTAACATAAGCCACACGAAAAGAAAGAAAGAAAGAAAGAAAGAGAAGAGAAAAAAAAAAATAAACAGAAAAAAGCAAGGAAGAAAGTAAAAGAAAGAGAAAGAGAAAGAGATAGAAGATAGATAAAGTATTGGTAAATTG